GTAATTGTAACCAACAGAAGCAATTACTATAGCACTGTTAATCTACAATGTACTTAAAGGCTTTATCTTACATGTCCTTCCAATCACTCTAATGTAGAACCCCTATTATTTCCCTCATTTACTAATGAAGAATTGAAGACGAAGGTTCTTTCATATTTCTGAAAGTGGTAAAAAAAAATAATTGTGTAAACTGTGGGATATGTATGAGCTGATCCACATCTGGATCCCATGCATCTCTCACACATGATGAAGGTATGATGTTCCTCTTTGCGTTTCAAAGCAAAAGTATGACTTGCAGTGTAATCCTATGTTTATTAACCCAGAAGGAAGTCCCACTGAGCTCTGTGGCGTATACTCCCAAGTATGCAAGCCTAGGAGTGCAGCCTTACTTCTGCTTCCCCTTTCGCTGGTGTCTCATGAAAGAGTCCTGGATGAGTCCAGATTATCTCAGTTTAATAAACTAATATATGAATGAGACCTTTGGTGACATGCACAGCTCCTTTGCTTCTTCCTTCAGATGAGCAGGCAAACCAACCAGGAAATTTCAAATTAATTTAAATAGAGCCAGTGTGGTGTAGTGGTTAAGAGCGGTGGACTCATAATCTGGTGAACAGGGTTCGCTTCCCTGCTCCTCCACAAGCAGCTGCTGGGTGACCGTGGGCCAGTCACACTTCTCTGAAGTCTCTCAGCCTCACTCACCTCACAGTGTTTGTTGTGGGGGAGGAAGGGAAAGGAGAATGTTAGCCGCTTTGAGACTCCTTCGGGTAGGGATAAAGCGGGATATCAAATCCAAACTCTTCATCATCATCATCTTAATGGAGAAACTATAGGCAACAGCTTTTGAACAAGTCCAGATATTAAGACAACATAATGGTCTGGCTGGTTCTTAAGCCTTTATCCACAGTTTCCTGGTTGGGATGACACAGCAAAATAGGTAACGGAAGTCTCACTGGTTTGCTTGCTTGGCTGAAGCAAAGGGCTGCATTTACTTACTCATTCATTTCATGAAGTGATTTAACAATTTAAAAAACAACATAAAAATCATTTCAAATCCAAGAAGGATACAGATTGGGGCAAAGATTTCCACTTAAAAGCCTCGTTGAAAGAGGATGGTCTTCAACAGACATGGAAAATAAAATAAAGACAACACCTGTCTGATACACAACAGGAAGGAATACCAAAGGTTAACTGTTCCCACACTAAAGTCCCAATTCCTACATCATATGGAACGGACGTCTTGATGAGATGGTACCTTTAGGAGACCCCATCTGGCAGAATGCTGTGAACAGCTGCATATTATGATGGGTGAGACAATCTTTTAGATCTCCTATATGCTGAGTGAAAAGGCTCACTTATATCTCTGCTTAATTAAGCAGAGATATGATCATACAAACACAGAATTATTTTCCTTAGACTAAGCAGAGATTCTCCTTAGATTTGCCCAAGTAGAAGCTTGAAACCAGGTCCAAAAATGTTTTAGGAATGACATTCCCCTGCATCTCAGCTGCTTCACATATTACACACCTAGTTCCTCATCATCATTTTACAACAAAAGAGAAATACCATCATATGTTCTGATTTTTGTAAGGGGGGGTGTGCCCACATGCACGCACACACAAATTTTTTATAGTTAGCCAACATAAACCTGGTATCTTTACCCTATCTGGTTTGAAAATATGAAAAGCAGACTGTCTGAGACTACAGCCATTCCAGTGTCTAATTTGGGAAGATAACACCATCAGTTACATTGCATATAATATGAACATGAAGATATTGCCAGGTTTGTGGGTAGGGCTGGGGGGAGAACCTGCTACACTGACAATATTCATCTAATATTCTAAGTGAGATTGATACTGTGTCTACTTTTAAGCCCACAACTTTTAAGCCTACCTACGTCATACCAAATAATCACTTTAGTTGCACAAAGTGTTTATGACACCATGTCAAGAAACTACATTTATAATGGCTGAAGTTATTCATCTTGTTGACAAGGCAAAAACCTAACAAGATCTATCTTTTTCTTTGCTGAAGAGGCTGTTAGCTGTTGGGAGATTACTGAATCAAGCTGTTAACCAGCTAATCAATCCTCATCAGTTCACAAAGTCTGGGCAGACTGTTAATGTAGACAGCACGTATTTCTTTTTTTAGAGTCCCTCTCTCCTCTTTATGAAACTAGTTCTGAGGAGCAAAATTTTGTAAGTCTTCTGCACTACTCAATGAAGCTTTAGCTCATGCAAAGTATGAACACAACTGGCTGAAGCTGAGACTTTCTAGTGGAATAAACAGTCCTCAGATAGACATGTGTGCGACCTCTTCTTTACATTAAAGGTAAAGGTAAAGGGACCCCTGACCATTAGGTCTAGTCATGACCGACTCTAGGTTTGCTGCGCTCATCTCGTTTTATTGGCCGAGAGAGCCGGTGTACAGCTTTCGGGTCATGTAGCCAGCATGACAAAGCCGCTTCTGGCGAACCAGAGCAGTGCACGAAACGCCATTTACCTTCCCACCGGAGTGGTACCTATTTATCTACTTGCACTCTGACGTGCTTTCGAACTGCTAGGTTGGCAGGAGCAGGGACCGAGCAACGGGAGCTCACCCCATTGCGGGGATTTGAACCGCTGACCTTCTGATCGACAAGTCCTAGGCTCTGTGGTTTCTCCCACAGTGCCACCCGCGTCCCCTCTTCTTTACATTAGGCAAGCCATTTATGCTTCAGCACATGCCATAATATGAAAACCTACGTTCTGTCACAGAATGTTATTCCACATAAGAGACAGCCAAAAAAGATGGAAATTATGCTTTTGGAAGTCACTAGAGTTCAGTTATGTTTACTATGCAAAACCACTAACAAAAAGATCCCGGTACAGACCTTTGAAGTATTGCATAAACAACCCAACTGCTGGCTTTATAGGCATCCTGTTTTGGACTCCAACATGCTACCTTCGCCAAACTCGTCTAATGGAAGTTCAGAGAGTGCCATATCAAATATGCACAATTATGCTTGGTAGACATTCAAGCTTCTTCAGCGAGGGGCACCAGTTCCGCCTGAGGAACCTTGAGAATCCACTTGCTGGAATACAGTAAGAATAGTCCCAGAAAGCTGTGTGCTGGAGCAAAACTAAGTACCAGGAAAGCAAAGCTACTGGGCTCCAAAGACATAAGAGGAATCTCTTAAATTTTAGACTGGGTGACGAGCATGAGTGGACGGGAAGAAGACCATGAGCAGTGACAGCATAATTAACCTATTTACAAAGCCAACCTTCGTATGGTTCTGCAGCATGACATTTGGCCTATGCCTGCCAGACTGGGATAACAGACAAATGTTGTTCTAATTAAAAAGAAGCAAGGGTAGGAAAAAAAATACCCTGGCTTCTCTAAGCAGGTTTTGACAAGATCTGAACACCATCCTTCTCAGGGCTAAAAATGACAATTCACTGAGCAAGGTTGTTCGAGAACTAGAAACCTCAGCTAATGGATTCTGCATCCCCCAACTTGAAGACAATATCTTTGCTGCCAACTGTTACAATGAGTTCTGCATTTGAAACAGAGTCTTTTGATATCTCCTCCTAGATTTATTGTATCTTGTCTCGGGGAAAACTCATGACCCAACTACTGGATAGTAACAGCCAATCAGAATGCTTCTAGATGAGTGCATTTCATGTTATTTAGCTTCCTTATTAAAAAAAAGAACGAAAAAAGTCAATATACACTAGAACTTTTGTACTCCATTTTGTTAGACAGGTTTTTGTTTGTTAGTTAGCTTTTTTAAGGATCCAGGCCAGTGGCTATAGCTATAGATTTTGCTGATCATATGTTTCGAGAGCTTTGAGCCTCCAAAGTAAGTTTTTTTAAATGCAGTGACATAGTTAGGAAAATAGGCTGTCACATGCAAGCTGCCACCTTTCACTTGCCTTGCTGATCTAGTACATGAACAGGTTTTTAAGCAGTGATCAGTTGCTCTGAATCCCACCTGTCTTCAGCTGACTTGTTCTGAGATCTTCCTCTGTTACAGCATATAGAAACAACAGTGGGAGCCAATTTATGATGCCAGTATGGAGGTATCCATGGCATTTCCTTTTCCAGTTTGGTACCATAGTCCCCATAGTCATGGTGAAATCTCCACGAGTTCCTCCACGCATGCAAATGAGGAAGAGAGTCACTAACCTTCTCTATGTGACAGAAAAGAAGTAACTGCGTTTTGATCTCTGGGATAGAATAGACACAGGATAGTGCTGACACATCCAACCTATACAAAGAGATATTCACAGCCTGATCCTGTCCACGTCTCCCTCCACCACTTCTTGTTGTTTAGTCATGTCCGACTCTTTGTGACTCCATGGACCACAGCATGCCAGGCACTACTGTCTTCCACTGCCTCCCGCAGCTTGGTCAAACTCATGTTGGTAGCTTTGAAAACACTATCCAACCATCTTATCCTCTGTCGTCCCCTTCTCCTTGTGCCCTCCATCTTTCCCAACATCAGGGTCTTTTCCAGGGAGTCTTCTCTTCTCATGAGGTGGCCAAAGTATTGGAACCTCCACTTCACGATCTGTTCTTCCAGTGAGCACTCAGGGCTGATTTCCTTCAGAATGGGTAGGTTTGATCTTCTTGCAGTCCATGGGACTCTCAACAGTCTCCCCCAGCACCATAATTCAAAAGCATCAATTCTTCGGCAATCAGCCTTCTTTATGGTCCAGTTCTCACTTCCATACATCACTACTGAGAAAACCATAGCTTTAGCTATACAGAGCTTTGCCGGCAAGATGATTTCTCTGCTTTTTAAGATGCTGTCTAGGTTTGTCATCGCTTTCCTCCCAAGAAGCAGGCATCTTTTAATTTCATGACTGCTGTCACCATCTGCAGTGATCATGGAACCCAAGAAAGCAAAATATCTCACTGCCTCCATTTCTTCCCCTTCTATTTGCCAGGATACGTTTCAGTGAGTTCAATGGGATGCAGGGTAATCTCTCCCTCCACCACTTAGTATTAATTATTTCTGTACACAGTGGGAATAGCTCAGTTGGCAGAGCATGAGACTCTTAATCTCAGGGTTGTGGGTTCGAGCCCCATGTTGGGTGAAAGATATCTGCATTGTAGGAGGTTGGACTAGATGACCTTTGTGGTCCCTTCCTACTCCACAGTTCTTTGATTCTCTTCTTGTGTTTTCATAATAAACAATGATCATAGGATGGCAACATTTTGTATACCTCTTAACTCCTCTGAATCACAATGGATTTCTGTTCTGTTATCAGAAACTGAAATCATGAATTGAGCAGCAAAGAAAGGAATGAAGTGCAGCACTCTGCACAATCTCCACAAAAGAAGGCAAATGGTTACGTGGCTCCTATAGATTTGCATCCATATATTGAAAACTATCATATATTTACCCAAGCTGAGCTACAGTGTGTAAAAAGGGCTGTGGTAAACGTAGCTTATCAAAACACAGCTGTGGAAACAAACACCCCTTTTAATACTTAAAGGCGTAAAAACTGATAGGACTCGATTTACTTTCTGGGAGGTGAAAAAGAAAGTAAAGAGCCTTGTTCAATCTTATTGGCATGCACTATCTTGCTACGGTCCACACAGGCTCCCCATTTGGGGAGGGGGAGATTATACAGGAATTCTTCCAAAGACCCACAGCCATGTGTGTGAGGAGGAGATGGGGATGGTAGTCGGAAGAACCACACTCAGCTTGGAAAAGACACAAGAAGCCAACAGCTCTTTGAAATATGACCTCTGCGTATCTTGGAAAACCCAAGTGTTTCCAAATGTTTGAAAAACAGAGTCACTCACAACAGAGGAATCAACTTCTGAGTTATAGTTTCCTAGAGAACTGGCATCATTTGTACACTTCAATCCTGAATAAAAAAATGAAATGGTACATTCATCGAACAAAAGGACAAACTGCTAAACACACAGTCATGGGCAAGTGTGTTTTGTTGTTGTTGTTGTTTATTTTAAAGGGTATCACACTTTCTGTTCAAGAAGGAAAATGATAACAAAGGGCTTGTCCACACTCTTCCGCTTGTCCAGTGCCTAGAAAGCAAAGGTCTCAGCAGTTATTCACTTGATTTGAGTCTTCTGGGAATGGATCCAAGTGGTTATGCCTTTGCCCATTGAAAACCTGCTCCTTAGCGCTAAATTGGAACAAACTGCAATCTACAGAAAACCTACTTGCTTGTTGTTCTGATTCAGTGCGAAAGATCGGGTTTCCCCAGGGGAAAGTGTTGGGCAAACAGCAGTGTGGATAAGCCCTAAGATGAGCCAAGGAGCCATAAGGAATGTCATGTTTTCCTTCGTCTAGTTCACTATGTCAGAAAAAGAAGCTGTATTTCCATCCCCCAATAATGCAAAAGTCTGTGTATGTGAGGTCAACTGCAGTTGCAGATATCAATATTCCACTGTAACACAAAATGTCTTCTATCTTCTAGTGGTGATCTGGATTATGAATATGTCTGTTGGAAATATTATACCTATAAAATCAGAGCCATTTCCTACAAATCTGATTTACAAAAACCTAATCCTTTGGCATGTTTTGCTGAATGCAGCTCAACGGTTCAACTTTTTTTAATGCCTATCCATACAGAGAGATAGCATGAGAAACCTAAAGCACAGATTAGCCAATAGCAAGGGGTCTTCCCCCGCCCCCAACTTCATAATTCTGCTAAAGCAAAACCATTGACTTCACAGTGATTCCCTGAAATAACTGGTTCTGATCAATGCAGCCTAATAAACAGCAGACCTATCCAGTTTTTATTATTATTATTCTGCTACAGCAACCCATGGAGGTCAGAAGAGTTTAAGAGAAAGGAATGGTAACCATGAAACCCATTGGTCTCATGTAATAATTATGGGGGGGGGGACTCATGGAACTTTAAGCATGCCATTTGGGGGCTCTGTAGTTTAGGCTTCCCCAGCCAGATACCCTCCAGATGCTGTTGAACTACAACTCCTATAAACCCTGGCTAGCTATTTGGCTGGGGTTGGTGAGAGTCCAGTGACAACTGAAGAGGCTGTATATGCACATTTAAAGGCTCACAAAAATGACCATTTAAAATGATTGAAGTGCAGTGAGAAACAGGAGAACCTTTTGCTACACCTAATGGATGTCTGTGGACTGTACTCGTTAAATTTGGTAAATATATTATCTAACCCCCACACACACTTTGCATAAAGCAAACAAATATACCCCTGCTTCTAATTTATGGCAGACAATTCACACAAGGTGTGCGCTTCTGGTAAGGGGGTGTCACATTTTCTCAACATTTACTCCAGTCTTTTGCTACTGAAATGTGTTGTCCTTATCCCAGGTATGACATTCAGTTATATTGAGATTGTTGTGTGGAATGTGGTTGTGTGAACATCACAAATCCCAGCTTGTCACTGCCCACTGGAGTAGTTAAGCTCTCTCCCACTACCATGTATGTGTTGGCAGGGGAAGCAAAGTTGCTCAATTTCTATTTTTTTTATAATTTCTGGGGCTGTGCTCTCTTGATCAAGGTGAGACATTCTCAAGGCAAATTCTGGAGAAACTGCTTGCATGTTCACCTTGATGACAAGACCAGCCGACAACCTCCTCCAATAGCTACCTTCTTCTGGTGGGGCTTGCTGCCAAGATGAACTGGCAACCTCTGAAGTAGCCCCTTGTCAGTTTCACACCTGCAAACCAACCCAGTTAAAGACTCTAGGTAAAGTCTGGAGGCTTATTTTTTATTATTTTAGCTCTTTAGCGGTTGTTTGTCCTAGACCATTCTGGCATTAGAAAAGCTATTTTGGAGGTCCATTGCCTTCCTACCAAAATCTTGAATCTGGAAATGCTCTACAGTGGTGACCCAAGTCAAAGAATTGCATAAGCCTGTGACTTTCTGCTAGTGAAAGGCCACAATCCAAAGAGCACTACTCTTCTTGGGCAAGCCAAGTGGGATTTCCCCCCTTGCAATATTGCAGGGAGTGGAAGCATCTGCTGTTCAGACTGCTTTCCAAGTGCCCTCCATTTTAGAAGTAGGCTAAGTGACTCTAATCAGTGAACATCAGCTTACAGTTTTATGTGTTTGTTATTCTTTGAAACAAACAGCTGCACACCTTTTCCCCCTTAAAAGGCAGAACACTCATTAGGATTGGAACAAAGTTTCTCTTGTGCTCCAAGACTAGACTGACTTTCTTAATTGGCTTCATTTCGCTCTATCATCCCCAAGACAAGTGTGTAACATTGAATGGTAGCCAATTCATTTATGCGTTTTGGTATTACGAAAAGCAAGGAGGTGTTGCCAGGTGCACCTTTATATTTTATGAGGTAAGCAAATGTAGTTAGAAAAGTCTACTTCATTAATTAATGTTCATCTGGAACATTAGCATGCCTCCATCTCTGGAAAAACTGACACTTTCTATAGGAAATCTGGCTAGAAAGGAAAAAAATAAAAGATTTTAAAGCTTGTCTTCTTTAGCATTTGCAGCGGGCATATTTTCAGAGGTTATTCACACATTGTGGTAAAACTTATAACCTATCCTGGTAAGAAAACCATGGAGAGCAGTAAAGGGCTGGAACAAATTGGCCATTGTAGATTTACAAACTGAAGTTAGGCATTTGCGCCCTTGAACAAATATATGAATTCATATTTGCAGAATTCATATAATGAAAAACCACTTAACTGGATGCTTTAAGAAAGTCCTTACAGGCCATTAAGGGGTATTAATGCTATAGCCCTCACCAACCATCCTTGAGGGCACCTTGACATCCCCTGAGACCCATGTAGCTGCCACAGCTAAGTCTTCATCTGCCCCATTATAACTTCATCTCAAAGCGCACCTGGTTTCCTCTGATTAGGCCAGTTAGACATGATTGGTCCCTTTTTTATTTTCCAGGCCACTTTCTTCTTCTTTGCATATACAAACTGCATCCATACTTATGAGAGCTTGAGCTTCATGGCTCAATTTGAAGCTCCCTCTCCAGGTCTACAAAGCTGCTATGATATTTGTAGGTGCATTATCAAAATTACACCCTCATGAGTGCACCTGCAACATTTTGTAGCAAGTCCCACTTCTATCACTAATTGCCCGTTTTGCAAAATACAAAAGGCAGGAAGCGTTTGCACTTTGTATGCTTCTCACCCTATCATGCATGGTTCCCAACATACAGAGAGTTTCCTGCCACTTACACTTTTCCCATTGGCTGAGCTGCCACAAGCAGGGGACAGTGTTTTTTTGGAGAGTTCAACATGCCTAATGGTGTACATAAAAGTCCAACTAGATTTTGTGCTTATTTTATTCACAGTAAAGGTTTCTTTAATGATGACTCTTTTCGTGTGGGGTTTTTGTTTTTCGTAGTTGATGAGGGTTATTTTGTGGAAGTGTTTGTTTTGTTTTTACATACATAAAGATCATCCACATGTCAGCTTAAATAACCAAATAAAAGCAAAATTATCAAATCCTAGTGTTTTTCCCCTTCCTGACCCCGGTAGGTACCTAAAAGGTTTAATATTAACTCTAACTTGGCACTCTAGCTAACCTCTCTAGATGTCCTTTCTAATCAGTAACTCACAGTTTGAATGGAAACAACTAATCCGATGCTACTTTCAATTCAAGCAAACCATTTTAAGTAATTGCAATTACTTGCCCTCAAAACACTGCTTTCTGCATCTATTTCACAGACCATAAAATCCATAAAATAGTCTTCCTGCTCATTAAGTGTGCAGTCACCAAGCCATAAGATTTTTGTTTTGCTTTGTTTTACTATATGTCTGCAAGTTGGAATATTCTAGGCTGTCGTAGCACAAAAGCACAGACTGTTAAGAACACTTCTACAAACAAGGTTTTTCGTAAAGTGTTTTTCCCCCTTGTTGTTTCACCACTAACCCCTTACTCAGTAAGAGCTCTATTCACAATGTCTGATCTTTTGATAACTTGACCTTACAAACAGAAAATAAGAAAAAGAAAAAAAGCTCTAGGGAAGATGAAGAGAGCCAGAACCAGACTCCTTTAAAGGTACTGCATGTACTTTTACCATTTACTCAAAACTCTACAGAAATTTACTATAGTTAGGGCCAGCATTGTCCAGCAGAGGCAGGCTTCTGGGCATATC